CCTTGACTAGTTGTAGCATGGTGCTAAAATGGGAAGGTTCATTAATTCGTTTATATGTTGGTTTTCGATACTAATAGTATATCATATATGTTAGATGTATTCAGTCTATTTCGTTTAAGGCGATAAAGGGACGGTAGTGCAATTTTCCCACAATGATATGAGTAGACCCTTGGCTTCTATTTCATTTTGCATAGCCTTGCTTTTCCAAAAGGCATTCTAATCCAGAGTGGGCTGCAGTTTCGACCTCGCCTAGGTATCATTAGCATCCCAGCGGGACTCGAACCGTGACCGTGAAACGTATAATCTCATTGTAGGAAAATTGAACTACCAGTCCGCCTATCAACTTAAACGAAAAATGATGAATACACCTCCCTTATAAGGCTCATTAATGATACAAAATAAAAGGCATGCGAAGCGTCTGGGAATGTACCAAGTCCACTGTCTGATGCTGGAAATTATGACTACGATGGCAGAGGACAACGTACGAGGTAGAATCTTCGAAGTCTTTAGGACGCGATAACCAATTTGCGGGATTGAGATAAAGCCAATTATGTATATAGAAAGGAGGCTGCGACCAGATAAGAGGCCACACCATCTTGGTCTTAATACCTTTGAATGTATTCTTCTTTACATGCATATTTTCCTGCCAGATGATCATTGAAACTCCAGAAGGCGAATTGCTGTATATCCGTCAAGATATTCAATCATCACCATCAGCAGAATCACTTCCTTGTCCTGCACTTCTCAACATTGAAACTACCTCTGGACAATTCGACCGCCAAGCTGAGCGATGCCAAAGGTTGTCAGGGACCGAAGAGCGAGGTGGGTTAGGAGAATGTAGTGTGGATACGACTGGTCTACTCGATCCACCCTCTTCTGGGCTTGCCATATTCAATAGTAGGGGTGATCGAATTGATGATCCGGGTCTTTTTGCACAGATAATTGCTGCTGCGGCCTATTCGTTTCCGGACTCTGAATCTGATGCGGTCGCTGGCGTAGATCCTGCACAATCGGCTAATCACGAAGAAATACGGTTATCGTTATCCAAGGGAGCTGACTACTCAGGCGCTGATGAGCGCCAGGGCTCGTTGCGACTCAATACTCGCTTGAACCATTCGAGGTATGTTATATTCCTGGGCATATTCAGGGAAAGGTTATTATTTGATTTTAGACGATGTGTACACTTTTGAATTTTATCAAAAATCGGCTCCTTTAAGTACTTTTAAAGGAGCCTGAATTTTGAGTTTTTTCTAACTGGTATCATTGCCATATGCACACTTTGATAGCGCTCTATCGTTCTGCTTCAACATTCTGATCTTCTCAGATCGTCCCAAACTTTAAGAGTGTAATCTCTGGCCTATATTCCCGAACTTGTACTCAATCATTTAGGCGTTTCCATTAGCTGTCTTTTTAATTGACTTTGTGTCCTTGCCAGGACTACCTTAACCACGCACCACATCAAGTTGGGATGTCAGCACAGATTTTTAGTATTAGGTAATGTC